CGCTCTTCCATAAACTGACAAAACCCAACTGAGGAGGACCAGATGTCTGATAGAAGCTGCTGAAGAAATATAGCTCTCATAATGATTACAATGTGAAAAGATTAATAGAAACATAATACAGTAGCCCTGCACAAACAGCTAAAGCTGAGGGTATTATTGGAAAAGAGACTGTAACAAAGGTTTTGTATTGCTGTATAATCCTCAACAGTAAGAAAAGACATTATTTATTCAGAGTAACTGTGGGTCTGATCTCAAAGACAAAATGTCTCCCACAGATCAAAAATAAAATTATAAAATATGTACACTGCCTTGCAAAAGTATTCATACCCCTTGAACTTGTCCACATTTTTTCACGTTACAACCACAAACTTAAATGTATTTTATTGGGATTTTATGTGATAGACCAACACAAAGTATTGCATAATTGTGAAGTGGAAGGAAAATGATGTGTGGTGTTCAAGATTTTTTACAAATACAAATCTGAAAAGTGTGGCATGCATATGTATGTATTCAGCCCCCTTTATTCTGATATCCCTAAATAAAACCCAGTGCAACCAACTGCCTTCAGAAGTCACTGAATTAGTAAATAGAGTCCACCTGTGTGTAATTCAATCTCAGTATAAATACAGCTGTTCTGTGAAGGCATCAGAGGTTTGTTAGAGAACATTAGTGAACAAACAGCATCATGAAGACTAAGGAACATACCAGACAGATCAGGGATAAAGTTGTGGAGAAGTTTAAAGCAGGATTAGGTTATAAAAACATATCCCAAGCTTTGAACATCTCACAGAGCACTATTCAATCAATCATCCGAAAATGCAAAGCGTGTGGCACAACTGCAAACCTACCAAGACATGGCTGTCCACCTAAACTGACAGAACGGACAACGAGAGAATTAATCAGAGAAGCAACCAAGAGGCCCATGGTAACTCTGGAGGAGCTGCAGAGATCCACAGCTCGGATGGAAAAATCTGTCCATAGAACAACTATTAGTTGTGTACTCCACAAATCTGGCTTTTATGGAGGAGTGGCAAGAAGAAAGCCATTGTTGAAAGAAAGCAATAAGAATTCCCATTTGCAGTTTGCCACAAGCCATGTAGGGGACACAGCAAACATGTGGAAGAAGGTGCTCTGGTCAGATGAGACCAAAACCGAACTTTTTGGTCTACATGCAAAATGCTATGTGGCAGAAACCTAACACTGCACATCAACCTGAACACACCATCCCCACCGTGAAACGTGGTGGCAGTATCATGCTGTGGGGATGCTGGACAGGGAAGCTGGTCAGAGTTGATGGGAAGATGGATGGAGCTAAATACAGGGCAATCCTGGAAGAAAACCTGTTAGAGGCTGCAAAAGACTTGAGACTGGGGCGGAGGTTCACCTTCCAGCAGGACAGCGACCCTAAACATACAGCTAGAGCTACAATGGAATGGTTTAGATCAAAAGCATATTCATGTGTTAGAATGGCCCAGTCAAAGTCCAGACCTAAATCCTATTGAGAATCTGTGGCAAGAATTAAATTGCTGTTCACAGATGCTCTCCATTCAATCTGCCTGAACTGGAGCTATTTCGCAAAGAAGAATGGGCAAAAATTGCTGTGTCTAGATGTGCAAAGCTGGTAGAGACATACCCCAAAAGACTTGCAGCTGTAATTGCAGGGAAAAGTTGTAAACTCGACAGAGTATTGACTCAAGGGGGCTGAATACATGTGCACGCCACACTTTTCAGATTTTTATTTGTAAAAAAATTACCACACATTATTTTCCTTCCACTTCACAATTATGCGATATTTTGTGTTGGTCTATCACATAAAATACATTTACGTTTGTGGTTGTAATGTGACAAAATGTGGAAGAGTTCAAGGGGTATGAATACTTTTGAAAGGCACTGTACCACACTCTCTAGTATCAACCATAAAGTACCTAAAACATTTGAACAGCTGTTGTTGTGAAACACAAAGTAAAATTTTTGATGGTATCAGTGTGATTATTTTTACATTTCAAGTGCATCTGTGTGGAAAAAACTCCAGTCATTAGCTTAGAAACAACAAGTGGTCAAATTATACCTTTCTATTAATCTAATGAAAGAAATCAAAGGTCTAAGTTAACAGTCCAACACTCGAGGTGTTCAGCTGAGCTTGGTCGTAAGGGAGTTAGGGTAAACTTGCTCCATTAGAAGAGAACTCCAACTTCTGTGCTGTTGTAACATGTTTTAAACAGGTGCAAAAATGTAAATGTAAACAAGACACATTCTGGTTTTAGCAGCATTTAGAAAGGGACCTATTAGTTGACCAATAAGTGCAGCGACTGAAGGTGGCATCTCTTGAGTCCTGAATGAAAAAGACTGTACTATGATGTAGTTGGATGAACTGCTGATTGATTACCTAAAGACATAAAACATGTCAGACACACCTGGACTTGATGGACAGTGGATTTTCTTTTTATAAAGGTAAGCCAGCAAGTTTCCTCCATATCCAGTCATGCTAAGCTAGGCTAATGTAACCATCTCAGTCTTGGAGTCAAGGAAGTTAACCTCATAACCATCTTATCCTCTGCACAACAAGAGAACATTGAGACTTAAAGAATATTTTAATTCTTGAAATTATGTATAACATAAGAGATATAAAGTATATTTATTTTTCCTGTTACAACCCAAAAATCAGAAAAAGCTGGGACAGCGTGTAAAATCAAAATTAAAACTGAAAACAGTGATGTGTAACTCATCACTGTGTCCTGTATCACATTGAAAACACAGCAGCACATTATTTGATGAGACACCCTCAGTTTTATTCTTTGTTCAAAATAAACTCACTTCAGTCCTGATGTTGCAGCACATTCCAACAAAAGTTAGGCCGGCTGCATTTCAGGGCCAGTAATGAGGTAAAACAATGAAATGATGACTCCATTTGAACCAACTGATGTCAACAGATGACTGCATCATGAATCGGTACAACGGTGACATCCAGGAAAGGCCAAGCCCTTTTAGGAGGAAAGATGGGCTGAGGACCACCAGTTTGACAACATATGTGTGAGGAAAATCATTGAAATGTTTAAAAACAATGTTCCTCAAAGATAGGAGGGATTTGGATCTGTCGCCCTCTACGGTGCAGAGCATCATTAAAAGATTCAAGGAATCTGGAGGATTTCAGTGTGTAAAGGCCGAGGGCCGAGCCTGAGCTGGATGACCGAGCTCTTCGATCCCTCAGATGTCGCCACATCAAGAATCGTCACTCTTCTATAAGTGATATAACCACATGGGCTCAGGATGACTTTGGCTCAACTGTGTCAGCCACTACAATACATAGTTACATCCATAAATGCTGCTTAAACCTGTACTGTGCCAAAAGGAACCCCTGTGTCAACAGTGTCCAGAAGTCAACTCCTCTGGGCTCAGAGGCGTCTGGGATGGACCATCACACAGTGGAAACGTGCACTGTGGTCAGACCAATCATTGTTTCAAGTCTTTTTGGAAGGAATGGACAGCATGTAATCTGGACCAAAAATGAAAAGGACCATCCAGACTGTTAGCAGCAACGAATCCAAAAGCCAGGGTCTGGCATGGTCTGGGGTCGTGTCACTGCCCTGGGCAAAGGTCATTTCCACTTCTGTGATAGCCCCATTAATGCTGAACAGACAGACAGATGTTGGAGCAACAAGTGCTGCCTTCAAGACGACGGGTGCTGGATGTGGTGTTTCCTAGGCTCACCTGCTGATTCCTGTCTATCCCTTTTCCAGGCGCGCCCATGCATATTTCAACAAGAAAATGCAAAACCTCATCAACCAAGGCCTGGCTGTGGAGGAAGAGGGGCCGAGTGCTGGACTGGCCTGCCTGCAGTCCCTACCCGTCCCCGGTAGAGAATGTGTGGGCACATTTTGAAATGCAAATTGCATCAACAAAGCCCCAGGACTGTTGCACCTTAAGACTTGTTTGCAGGAGGAATGGGACAAAATGACACCTGACACACTGAATCACTTGATGTCCTCAGTCCCTATGTCTGTAAGTGTTGTGAAAAGGAACAGCAGTGTCACACTGTGGTAGACGCTTCACTGTCCCAACTTTGTTTGGAATGTGTTGCAGGATTGAAGTGTTCATTTTGAAAAAACAATAAAGTTGATGGTGTCACATCAAACAATGAGCTGCCGTGTTGTTTCCAGTGTAACACAGGACACATATGATTTACAAATCACTGTTTAGAGTTTTAATTTTGCATACAAGGCAACTTTTTCTGATTTTGTTGTACTGTATTGACCTTTATTCTTACTTCATTTACTTTAATCCTTCAGCTTTATTCTGGAATTTGAATGTATGTATTCCTTCATATTACTGTATAATGTGATAAAGTGTAACATTATACAGGACTTGGTGGCCATTGTTCCAGGCATACAGTGCTCTGTCACGAGGGTTATAGTCGAGCATGGACAGGTGGCTGTACTTGTTAGTCAGAGGAATGTCGATGTACTCGTAGGTGGAGGAGTTAGTGGAGAAGGCGTAGTACACTTTGGTCCCACCTGAGTATCCATTAGTGACGTACAGGGTTCCACAGATCATGAATGCTTCACCAGCACTGCGCTTTGGGTGGTTGGTGGTCCAGCTGCGGATGATGTGGAGAGTGTTGGGGTTTAACCGGCTCAGGACGATGTTTCCAGCATTCTGATTGGTGGCATAGACGGCCCAGAGCCCTCCCTCGTCCACCATCAGGTCGATGTCTGAGTGGCCCCCCCAAGCATAATGGTACATGTTGTTGTAGCCAGCAAAGTCAAGCTGTCGGGAGCGGCTGATGAGTGATGTGCTAAAGTCAAACTTTATGATGGTGTGACTCTGGAACTTGTTGAAGTAAATGGATCCATTGTAAACTACTTGACCGGTACCAGACCAGGGGTGAGGGAGGCGGTGAGAGGTGAAGTTATCAGTCATCATGAAGTCATACATCGACTGATACTCCCTAACAAAGCGATTGTTATGGTATCCATCCATGTACCACACCTGCGGGGTAATAAGCCGCATCAATAATGCATAAACAGGAAAACCCAGACTTGACAAACCAGTTGGCTGTGCACCACACCAGGGAGTGAATTAGCTACTGGCTTCATGATACCAGTTACCTGAGAAGACCAGCATTCAGCTCAGTGAAGCCAGATAAGCTCAAGTTAACAAGAATTAGTTGAACTCATTTCATAATACAGGCCCCTGCTATTGTGTTGTGATGTCATGATATATTTTATTGTTGTTTTTCACACTCACTCTGGTGTCTCCAGCCGGAGCAAGTGGGTCAGTCATCCATGATCCAAATCTTGATCCAGATGTCTTGATGGTGACTGGCTCTGAGATTCCTGTCAGCTTCCCACAGGCTGAAACACAAACAGAAACATATACAGGGACAAAATGAAGAAAATAACAGGACGACCTGCTCAAACTGCAGATAAGATTGTTTTTAGATGAATGGTTACTGTCAGCATCTACATGAATATAAAAGTCACCCACTATGACTGGGCTACTTTATGTGTACTAAGCATTAAATCAGATAGCACTTCTGAGAATTCACTCAAAAATGTAAATAAGGAATAATACTCCATGTTTGATTGTCTTGTTTTTTTTTTTCTTTGTAAGAGGAACAGTGTTAATTTTAATTAGGTTCCTATGAACAAGTCCTCTTGAATTGATGTTTGATTTATCTAATTTAGATGGTTGTGGGGAAGACAGTCTCTGTAGGGCACTAGGAGTTTGGGGTCATCTCCAGTCTCCTTACATTTATTACATATATAGAGGAAAAAGCTAAATGTGACAACTCAACTAAACATGTGAGAAAGAGGGTGAAGCTATTGCTTACTGCTGCTAAGCTAGTGGACCTAAAGCATCAATTTATATTATATTCTTATTATATTTTTATCATACTTCTTTCACTTGCTGTTTTAAAGTGCTTTAGACTTTATGTTACCTACTTATCTACTTTGTATTTCACTTGTATTTTGTGGCATTCATGTGGATGGCTAAGTAAGACATGCATTATCCAGGGAAACACATTTCCTCACTGTGCACATGACAGCAAACAGTCTGACCTTGACCTCGAAGTGAAATAAGCAGGATGCTCTGAAACACACGTGTTTGAGTAGTGCAAGTGAATGTTACAAATGAGGAATTAGTCAACATTTAGAGAAATCTAGTATTTGGTGAGCTTAAAGCTAAACGTAGCCTAATTTATAAACAATCCGGTGCAAAAGCACAGCACTGTGCAGGGGCAAACAGGAAGTGAATAGGTTATGCCAACCACAGGAACAGAGTGGCTATATGTACCAAGAATGTGAAAGTAGGTCATGCCATGTTGACTGTTGTGATAGGGGAAATATTTTTGGAGGTATGTGCTGTATTTACATGCATATATTCTTGTACTGTTTTGCTCAAAAGCAGCTTAAATTGTTTAGAGCTCACTTTACTGACTGTGGTAATTCAGAATGGATAACCTCAGCTGACTGTAGCTAACTCATAACAGACCTAGAGATCCCGTTGACGAGAGTCAAGAATCTTTATAGTCATTATGCATAGCACAATAAATTTTTTCCGGCAGCTCTCGGCTTAAAAACAGACATATTATTTACATAACACACAATTGTATAAGTTCAATATAAAAATATGAGCAAATAAAAAGGGATGTATGGGACCTAATCAGGTCAGCAGCATGTTAGCAGCAAGAGTGTAGTAACATTATAAGGTGCAGCTCAGTGCAAATCTCAGTCTTTAGGAAGAGGTGTGAGGTCCGACAAGAGGGCGACAGACTAAAAAAATAACTCTGCACCCTGATCTCAGCTCATGATTTGGGAGCTAATGCTAGCTAGTAGCTGTCGGCAGATGACACAAACACTGCAGATTAATCGATTTCTGCTGTGTCTGTGCTCAAACTGAAAACTAAAGTAAATGTTTGGATGTAGTTGAAACATCCGCTACTGTATGTATGGAGCATTTATCCAAAATTCAACATGGTGTGATAACTTCACGTTCTCTCCTGCAGCATTCACTGCTGTCTTCTTGTAGTAGAATCTTTCCTTATTTAAATTACTCTAATATTGCATGGGCATGTACATAGTTATATGGGCCACCTCTTGTCATTGTTGGTTCTCTTTTTATTAACTAAATTACACATCTGAATATTTGTTTATAGAATACTGTTTTAGCATTTATCAGTACCTAAGACGTCACAGTTTACTGTACTTCAGATTCACACAGTCTGAACATTTTGTTATGCATTTACAGGGTTAAAATACATTTTCATTAAAAACAAGCAACAATCTTAACCCTCCCGCTGTCTTTCCGATATTACGAAGCGTCGGTAGAGGACAGGGGAAAAAATATAAAAAAAAAAAAGAAAAAAAAAAAAAGGCTACACAGCGGTGATGGTGGCGGCGTCGTCGTAAGGCGATTGGTTGTAACGGTCCCGTGGTCCTAGCAGGAAGCGGCCGCCCGGGACAGACTGCAGCAGCGACTGTGGTGTCGAGGGGCAGGGTCGAGGATCGGCTTAGGCCGGGGCTGTCATGTTACGCGTGACGAAAGAGTAGCGCTATGCCCCTGAGACCTACCCTCTTCACTGTGACCCGAGGACAGCGGGAGGGTTAAATACCAGAAGTCCAGAACTTTTTTGTGTGTTTTTCTTGCTTGTGAATTGTTTACTCACCAAGCCTCTGCATGCAGGCCTTCAGCCGGTCCTCCAGGCTCATCACCCGGCTGTGGAGCTCCTGGTAGTCGAGTCCTCCCAGTTGCTCCTGCAGCGATGCCAGCAGCTCCGTCACGTTCGCTGCCTCCTCCTTAAACTGTCGGACCAGCACAGCATCGGCTTTGTAGGTCTCCAGGACTGGTATCAGAGGACGTAACTCCTCCATCTTGGCTTTGATAGACTGACAGACAACATCGATCAGTAACTGAGCAGCTCATACTTTTCCAGGTTTCCCCTCAATAGTCCACATTAAAGGTAGTCTGGTTTGTTTGTTTGTTCTACATCTTTTATTTTCACTTTAGAAATTGATTACTGACATTTGGAGATTGGACTTTGATATAGTAAAACTGCTCAGATGACTTTTGTGTGAGATGCTGCAAATGTTATGTTCACAGTGATTTATACTGAGACCTGTGTTATCTCTCATTAATTGAAACATTTACATGCATTTGTTGAAATATAGCAGAGCTGTTGATAGGCAGTTTAACCCCATGATGTCTTGAGAAGGGTGGTACCTTGTACTGCCTGGCGATGCTGGTCTCATGTCCATCCTCTACCTCTTTGAATTTGTTTTCCAGACCTTTCAGCTGAACTTCCATTTTTTCCACAAACTGCAGATCCCTCTGAGTCCGCTGATCCAAAACTTCAATGGACTGACTCATATTCTGCACCTGGAAAAGACTCAGTATCATATCATACTGCAACTGCTACACAATACAACATATACAGTGGGTATGGAAAGTATTCAGACCCCCTTAAATTTTTCACTCTGTTATATTGCAGCCATATGCTAAAATCATTTAAGTTCATTTTTTTCCTCATTAATGTACACACAGCACCCCATATTGACAGAAAAACACAGAATTTGACATTTTTGCAGATTTATTAAAAAAGAAAAACTGAAATATCACATGGTCATAAGTATTCAGACCCTTTGCTCAGTATTTAGTAGAAGCACCCTTTTGAGCTAATACAGCCATGAGTCTTTTTGGGAATGATGCAACAAGTTTTTCACACCTGCATTTGGGGATCCTCTGCCATTCCTCCTTGCAGATCCTCTCCAGTTCTGTAAGGTTGGATGGTAAACGTTGGTGGACAGCCATTTTCAGGTCTCTCCAGAGATGCTCAATTGGGTTTAAGTCAGGGCTCTGGCTGG